TAAGAAAATGATCTTTATTAATCATCAAAGAAAAAATTTACATAGAAGATATTTGCATGGTGTATGTTCCTTCCAACGACCAAGTAGCGGATATTCTAACAAAAAGTCTTCACAAAAAACAGTTCGATGGTTTAGTGTGTAAGCTAGCTCTGAAAGATATATTCATGTCAACTTGAGGGGGAGTGTTGAAAGATCTGACTTGAATTACAAAATTTATTGTCTTTCCTCTTACACAGAATTTATTATCCTTCCTTCTACATATTATTTGGTAGTTGTAGAAATTGTAGAAATCATGCTTAGTTCTTAGTTAGCCTTGTAATGTAATAGGAAATAATTGTAACCTATTTGCTTATTTTCCTTATCTAGGAGGTGGGATTCCTAAATGTAAGGGTACCGGGTATTGCAACAGTAAGAAGGAACGAATTTTCTCTCCAAGTTTATGCTGTTTTTCAGGAACATATTTATAATTATTTAGAGGGGCATTATAGGAAGATAAGAAGCAATTATAAGAGGACTGCTAAAATGAGAAGAGAAACATTTGTAAAACTCACTTCTATTTTACTTTTTACTCCTTCAATCTACTCGATGCAAAACTCAAACACGCCACACATATTTATATTAACGACACTCCTATTAGGATTGTGCCAACACATTTCAAACCTAAGGCTACAATTGACTCTCTATAATATTTTTTAATCTTCAATTACAAGATTCATTAATTACATATTCTAGAATTCTCTAAATCTTTACTTTAAAATATATCTATAGAATCCTCTAAAATTTTCTTCATAAAATGAGTCTTAAGAATTTTATAAAAACTTTTCTAGATTATGGGCTCAATTAAAAGCCCAATTTAAATCAAGTTTAATTTTTAACACCCCCTCTTAAACTTGTTTTGTCATCCTGAGCAATCTTCTTATCCTAATAAAATTTCATACTATAGGGGTTTGGTAAATATATCAGCTACTTAATCATGAGTCTTCAAATACTCTATTTGCACATCATTTCTTGTGATACAGTCTCTGATGAAGTGATAACTGTGTCAATATGTTTGCTTCAATAATGGAAAGCTGGATTTTTGGTCAAAGTGATAAATGACTTGTTATTGATACAAATCTTTGTTGGCTCTTCTTGTGGCAATTTGAACTCTTTCAATAAATTTTGGAGCTAAATTGCAGGATAAACACATGAAATTGCAGCAATATACTCAATTTTATAAGTAAAAAGGGCGTCAATTGATAGGGCGACAATTGATTGCTTATTTGACATCCAAGTAAAAACAGTGTCTTCCATGTAGAACGCGAACTCTTTAGAATATTTTCTCTCATTCAAGTCTCCGGCCCAATCGCTATCACTATATCTGACAATCTTGAAATCATTTGATGATGAATGAATAAGAAAAATTCGATCGTACCTTTGATATGACGAAGAATCCTATCAGCATCCTTTAATTGAGTTGTAGTTGGTGCCTCCATATAGCGACTAACAATTTGAACAGCATGAAAAATGTTCAGCCTGGTGCAAGTCAGGTAGCGCAAGCTTCCAACTAAGAGCTTGAACAAGGTTGGATTGACAATTTCGCCATCCTCATTTTTGGAAAAACTGCCTCCACATTCCATCGGAGTGCTTTTGGGGTTGCAATCATTCATATTGAATTTCTTAAGAATTTATTTTCCATAGTTTTCTTGAGAAATAAATATGCTTTCATCCTTTTGCTTACCTTCAATATCGAGAAGGTACATCATTTGCCTAATGTTCGTCATCTCAAACTCTTTAATCATCACTTTCTTGAATTCTTTGAACATACTTGGATTACTTCCAGTAAAAATCAAGTCATCCACACATAAGCACACTATCAAAAAATCCTCATCCTCAACTTTGATGTAGAGGGCATGCTCATAAGAACATTTGATGAAGTTATTCTCAAGAAAATACTTATCAATGTGGTTGTTTCATGCCTTAGGTTCTTGTTTTAACCAATAGAGATCCTTCTTCAGCTTCAAAATCTTGTTTCCTCGCCCTTTGACTTTATAACCTGGTGGTTGTTGAATGTAAACTTCATGTTCAAGGACTCCATTCAGAAGCCGGCCTTTACATTCATTTGATATATTTTAAACCTATTTTGAGTTGCCAAAGAAATGAATAGCCTTATAGTTTCAAGTTGAGCAAATACTTCATCATAGTCGTTGTCAACTATTTGGCTGTAACATTTCCCCCCTAATTTTGTTTTATATTTCTCGACTTCTCGTTTGACATTCTTCTTTGCTTTGTATACCCACTTCACGACAATTGTCTTGTGCCCTTTTGGAGGTGCAGCTAGCTCTCATATATTGTTCTTCTCGATCGCATTGATTTCTTCATCTATTGCATCCTTCTAATTCTTACTTTGCAAGGCTTCTTGAAAATTCACGGGTTAACAATCGACAAAAAGGAAAAAGAGAGTAAGATTGTTTGGATTCTCATTTAACACATAAATTTCTTGTAAAAATCTGAAGCGTGGTACTTTTTTGCTTAACCCTTCACTTGAAGAAGATAATAATGATGGGTCCTCTTGATTACTTGCAGTTAGTGTGGTGGATGGTGTAGTAAACTCATCTATTTCTTGCTTTATCCTTGGTTGCTCCACTTTTTCATCCTTAAAGTAGTTGTAGTTCTCATCATGTGGATCCCAAATTCATTCTCCTTCCTAATCGAACACAACATTACAACTGATAATTGTCTTCATAGTGTTTGTATTGTATAACTTGTATCCTTCTGAGTTGGAGTCATAACTAATGAAAATATACTTCTCACTCTAGTCATCCAGTTTACTTCATTGCTCATCGAGTACGTGCAGATGAAATATGCTTCCAAACACTCCTAGATGAGAGATTCCAGGCTTCCTTCCACTCCATGCTTCCTGCGGTGTCATTCCCTACACACTTCTTGTTGAAGATCGATTAGACCAGTAAACCAGGCATGCAACAACTTCAGCCCAAAATTACTTAAGTAGCCTCTTACTCTTGAGCATACTTCGAGCTATGTCAAAGACAATTCAATTCTTTCTTTCGGCTACATCATTTGTTGAGGGTATCTTGAGACGGTCAATGGTCGACATATTCTGTTGGTTTCACAAAACTCTTGAAATTCTTTTGAAGTGACTCGCCACCCTGATCATATCGCATGATTTTGATCTCGAGGCTACTTTTTTTTCTCCACCAA